GTCGTCGCCGTCGTCGTCGCCGTCCTCGTCATCGCCGTCGAAATTGTCGGCGTTGTGGTCGCCGTCGTCGCCGTCGTCGTCAGCGTTGTCATCGTCGCCGTAGTCGTCGTTGACGTCGTCATGCTCGAAGTGGTCGTCGCCGCCGTCTTCGTTGTGGTCGTCGTCGTCTTGGTCGTCGTCTTCGTCGTTGTCGTCGTCGTCCCCATCCTTGTCTTCGTGCTCGTCGTCATGGTCGCCGTCGTCGCCGTGATCGTCGTCGTCGTCGTCGCCGTGATCGCCGTCGTCGTCGTCGTCGTCGTCGTCGTTGTCGCCGTCGTCGCAATCGCCGTCGTCATCTTCGTCGTCGTCGTCGTCGCCGCAGTCGTCGTCGCCGCCGTCGTTGTTGGCGTCGTTGTCTCCGTTGTCGTCTCCGTCGTTGTCGTCGTCGTCGTCGCTCGTCGTCCTCCTCAGCGTTGACGTCGTCGTCGTTGTCGCCGTCGTCGTCGTTGTGCTCATCGTCGTTGTCGTCGTAAGTGTCGTCGTCGTTGTCGCCGTCGTCGCAATCGTCGGCGTCGTCTCCGTCGCCGTCGTCGTCGCCGCAGTCTTCGTCGCCGCCGTCGTTGTTGCCGTCGTCGTCTCCGTTGTTGTCGTCCGCGTCTTCGTCGTCGTCGCCGTCGTGCACGTCGTCGTCGTCGACATCGCCGTCGTCGTCGCCGTCGTCGTCGTAGTCGACGTCGTAGTCGTCGTCGTCGTCGTCGTCGTGTTCTTGGTCGCAGCCGTTGTCGTCGTCGTCGTCGTTGCCATCATCGTCGTCGTCACCGTCGTCGTCGCCGTCGTCGTCGTCCCCTTCACCGTCGTCGTCGTCGTCGGCGTCGTCGTCGTCGGTGTCGGCGTCGTCGTCATTGTCGCCGTCGCCGTCGTCGTCGTCTTCGTCGTCGCCGTCAAAATCGTCGACCTCATAATCTTCGTCGTCGTTGCGGTAGTCGTCGTCGCCGTCGTCGTCGCCGTCATAGTCGTCGACCTCGTAATCTCCGTCGTCGTCGTGGTCGTGGTCGTCGTCGCTGTCGTCGTAGTTGTCGTCGCCATGGTCGTCGTCGTCGCCGACGTCATCGTCGTCTTCATCGTCGTCGTCGACGTCGTGCTCGTCGTCGTCGTCGTTGACGTCGTCGTCGTGGTCGATTTCTTCGTCGTCGTCGCCATCGTCGGTTTCGTCGTTGCCGTCGCCGTCGTTGTCGTCGTCGTCGCCGTCGTCGTCGTCATGCTCGTCGCCGTCATCGTCGTCGTCGTCGGTGTCGTCGCCGTCGTCGTCGTGGTCGTCGCCATCGTCGTCGTGGTTGAAGTCGTCGCCGCCGTCGTCGTCGTCGCCGCCGTCGTCGTCGTCGCCGTCATCGCCGTCGTCGTCGCCGTCGTCGTCGCCGTCGTCGTCGTCGTGCTCGTCATCGTTGTCGTCGCCAACGTCGCCGTCATTGTCGCCTTCGTCGCCGTTGTCGTCGTCGTCGTCGTCTTGGTCGACGTCGTCGTCGTCGCCGTCGTCGCCGTCGTCGTCGTCGTGCTCGTCGCCATCGTCGTCGTCGCCGTGATCGTTGTCGTCGTCATCGTCGACGTAGCCGTCGACGCCATCGTCGTCGTCGTCGTCGCCGTCGTCGTCGCCGTCATCGTCGTCGCCGTCGTCATCGTCGTCGTTTTTGTCTTCGTCGTCGTCGTGGTCGTCGTGCTCGACATCATCGCCGTCGTCGCCGTCGTCGTCGCCGTCGTCGTCGTCCTCGTGGTCTTCGTCGTCGTCGTCGTCGTGCCCGTCGTCGTCGATGTCGTCGTCGTCGTCGTCGATGTCGTCGTCGTCGTCGTCGTCGTCGTCGTCGTCGTCGTCTCCGTCGTTTCCGTCGTCGCCGTCGTCGTCGTCGTCATCGTCGTCGCTGGCGCTGGCGCCAGCTCAGAGCGAGGGGGGTCGGGTTCGAACTCCTTTTCCCCCTTTGAATCGTCGTCCTCGTCGCTGATCCCCACCGCCGCCGACAGCCGGCGCTGGCGCCGGCGCCGGCGCCGGCCTGGGAGGGGGAGGGTGGCCGCCGACGGCGCTAGCGCAGGCCCAGGGGGAGGGGAGGGGAGGGGTTCGAACCCCCCCGCTCCCTTTAACCAGGGATGGGGGGCCGGTTTCGGCCCCCCCCCCTCCAAGCTCCTACAGAACGCGCTTTCTTGCAGATCTTGGCCCGAGGCACGCACGTGCGCGGCCCAGGGGGGGGGGCCATCCTGGGGACGTACTGAAGCAAGAAGGGGGGGCCGTGAAATCCGTGGAGATGTTGCCCTGGCCATGATATCCCCTCCCCCGCGTCCTCAGCCCCCTCTTGGCCACCCCCGAGACCTGTCAGCGCGCCCGATGCGGTGCGCTGGGTCGTGCGAGAGGGGGGGTCCTGGCATGTTCCAGGCCGCGCTGCAGTGAGCACAGCGGGCGTCGCCCCTGAAGAGGAAACAGTACAAGACGCGCAGAAGAGCAGATGTGCCACCTGGCCAGCCGCATCTCTAGCAGGACCACTTCACGAGGGGATGGGCAGTAATTCACGGGGGGGTAAGCGAATCAACTCGCGCGGCTGGCTTTCCCCGCGCTGCAGGCGCCCGTGAATCGGGCAAGGCGCTCTGTCGGTCAACGTCGGGGGGGGGCCGGCTCAGGGGGGGATACATCGAGCTGGGATCGGCTATACATCGCCGATAGGCCTCCGGATGGCGAAACGCGAATTCATGGGCGGGGCGGGCTGTCGGGCCCCTACCGGCGATTCGTGGGCGATCGGAGGACGCTACATCCCCAGCTCCATCAACCCCCACAACGTTGTCCCTGAACCCCGCCCCAGGGATCGACCTGAACAGTATTATTCGATTCGTCTTTTACTTGCGTTTTCCCTCGTTTTGTTGTCAAGTCGCCTCTGCTACAAAGCGACGTCGGAACGAAAACGGCCCACGACATCGCCAAAACGCAGCTTAGTTCGAGCACTGCCCCCCCTTCCCAATGACCCCCCCCCCTGCGCGTCCGAACCGAGCGGAGCGAGAGGGGGGCGGTCGTCTGCCCAGATGCATCCGATGTCTTGGCTTCCTGTTCCAGGCGGGCACCCCGGGAGCCCCGACCATATCACCGGGGCCCGCTTCTCGACGCGAGCCGTTCGGTTGCCGGCCCTGGGGCCCAGCGGCGGGCCCCCGGCAGAAGACTTCAAAAAAACAAGCAGGCTCAACCTTGAGCTGTCCGTTCAAGGCATGCGTGGGTGAGGAGGAAGCACGGGGCCTTCCAAGAAGGGATTGACCTTGCCATCGCTCGGACGTCCATTCCCCATGCACGTTTCGTTTTCGTGAGAGTTGTTTCTTGCTCGATGATCCAGGATACTCCTCAAAGGTCATGGCCGAGAAAGCATGCGCACGTCCGAGCGATGCCCAGCCGAACGCCCCGCGGGGGGATCCCGTCACTTCAAAGAGGGCCCCTGGCCTGGTCCCGCACGTCCGAACACCCCATGGCTGCAAAGAGATATATACCGTTGCATCTCCACTCTGGACGCCCGAAATGGGTACGCAAAGAATGGGTACGATGCGAGACGACAACTGTCGTCCAAAACCGACAGCGGCCGCTGTTGGGCAGGCGGGCTTCTTTCTCAAATGAACACGGCCCGCGGCGGCACTGACAGCGACTACTGTCCAAAATGATCAGGAATTGGTGTAGGTCTTTGCGCCTACTCTTCCCATACCCACCTCGATCGTCCCGATCCAAGGGGCGTGCGCGCGCACGAAGAAGAAGAAGCAGGGGCAGCACCTCGTGCGGCGGCCCGCATGCACGCAATGCTGACTTTGGCCCCCAGCCTTCCCGAGGGCGCCGCTCCTCTCGCCCCCCCCCCCGAGGGCAGTACAGTCAACCAGTATAGTAAGGATGCGCGATAAGGATGCAAGGGCTAGGACGCCCATTTCGAAGCTTCTTCGAGCGGGGCGCGGCCAGCGAAAGCGGCGAAGGATGGACCGAGGAGGCAAGGATGCAAGGGTACCCTTGGGAAGGTTGCCCATCCTTACTATGCGGGTTGACTGTATGAGGCTAGACTCGGATGGGGATCCAACGGGAATCTCCGAGAGCTCGCGGGTCGGATGCATCGGGCGCCACGGCCGTCACCAGAGCGCCCCAGCACGCTCTGAGAGCTTCCTGGGACGCTCTGGAGCGACTGATCCTCGTCCTGGCACCGCCCGGCCCTCCCCCCCACCACCGGGCCGAAGCCCGCGCCCGGCCGCGGCCACGAGAGAACCCCCCACATAGCCAGAAGATGCCGCAGGCACCAGCTACGAGGGTGCCCCCCCCCCAGCGTTCCCCCCTGAGATTCGGGGAACCAGCTTCGAGCATATCGCGCCCCGCGATGCGCGGCGCACGGTCTTCTTCGCGCCCGCCGCCCACCTGGGCGACGAAAATACAAGGATCGCACGCCAGATGAGAGACGATCAAAAAGAGGACTTACGCGAGACGTCATAGCGACCTTACGCGGCGGCTTACGCGGACCGCCAGCGCGGCACGTTACATTGGGAACGATGGCGCTTACGCGCGACCTTACGCGGGCAGCCCACACGCCAATGTCGGCGCAGACGACCCCGTTTTTTTTTTTGCGTCGCCCAGATGTCATGGCGACATTTTGTGGTGGCTTACGCGGGCCGCGGGCGCGGCACGCTGCATTGGGAGCCAGGCCGCCCACGCGCGACCTTGCGCGGCACCCTTACGCGTCAATGTCGGTGAAGACGACCCCGTTGTTTCTTGCGCCGCTCCCCTGGAGAAAGGCAGCTCTCTGGCCCAGGCTGCGATGTGCGAAGCGTGATCCTATTCGCGGCGCTGGGTGTGATCCCGCTTCTCGCACCACCCCAGATGCCCTCCTGGGTCTCCAGAAGACGGAGCAGATGCCGAATGCGTAGATTCGCTCTCTCTCTCTCTCTCTTTCTGTGCGTGTCTCTCCATATTTCTGGCTTTGGCGGTGCACAGGCAGGGGGGAAGAGGTGGCCCCCACCCGAATAGCGGGCGCCTTGGCAATCTCCTTCTCAAGCCTCAAGCGCGCCTCCTTCTCCATCTGCTTCCTTTCCTCCATCTCGGC